TGTTCATTGGTCAGTATGAGCCCATGTGGGAAAACTATGAGTTGCCAAAAGAAAGTGCACTGAGAGCATGCTGCTTGTTGGTTATCAAAGATGGCCGTGTTTTATGTGCAGAGTACTTTGTGGAAAATGCACAACAGAGTATCTGATACAGCTGAGCCATGAGCAAATGTGGCAGCCAGTGCATCCCAGGCATGACGAGACAGAAGTCGCTGAGGTCTCATGCACTTGTGTCCTTTTGCCAGTGATCTCCCCGTTAAAAGGTCGTCCTAATGAGACTGCTCCTCGTGTGCCCTTCAAGTGCCACGCTGGAGCGCAGGAAACAATGCTGCGTTACAGATGCTATTTTAAATAGTGTCACAGTGTAAAACTGACAGTGTTGAATTACTGCCGGCCCTTTGATGCTGTTTATATCCCTGCCATCCTGTCAACACATATAATCATACTACAGATTCCCGATTTCGGGCCTGATTTTGTATTATTTTTTTGTTTTATCATGATGATTCAGCACATAGGCATTCATAAATGTCACAATGCTGTTACTCTTTTGCAGTAAAAGTAATTTTGTTTTACTCGAGCCCAGCAGTCTGCCACAGGGGTCCCAAGATAAATCAAAGACGTCACAACCGACTCACGATGGAACGTTTTTGTGTTTATGTTGCAAAAGAGGAGATAGCGTCTTTTTTATTCCATGCATTCTTCTTGTCAAAAAATTACTTGTTATTCTCTTGTTTTCCCTCTTTTCCTGTGAAATGCAGACAAAATTCCCTCCTGCAGACATCTAAAAACCATTCAAATGAAACAAATTCAGGAAGGATAGGCAATTAATAATATGAAAATGCCCGAAAACCAAACAATTATGACGTCTCACATCATGCTTGCATGTCGTTCACATGGAAATCCCATCTCTACCATCCATCCCTTATGACATGAACACAGCAGCACAAGGCACTAACATGTGATGAGGGATCACAAGTGGACTGCTTAGTTTTAAGAGGTCACAAGCCAAAAAGGTTGTGAACCACTGCTCTTGCATACTCTAAATAGGCCTGTCAATCACTTGAGCTAAAGTCAGATTCATAACTTGAATCACATTTCGTATTACTGTGGGTTTTGCTGTGTCTTCCATAAATGCACTTGTCAACCTAAGTTTGTGCAGTCACAAGCCCACACTCTCCGGTCTCTCATCTCCCTTGCAATTAGCTTCGTGGCTGCCGCATGTGTACTCCCAAAAAAAAAAAAAAAAAAAAAGAAATTCAGTGAAAGCATGCACTTAAGAAGACATGGTCTTGAAAAACAAACTCCAGAAGCCACTGATAGACAGATCTGTCTGCCCACTCTGGTTCGCTGGCTAAAGCCGTGGCTGCTGTGGCTGTGCTGTGGTGGCCACTGGTCCATGTCTGAAGACATCAGATGCAAGGCCATTTCTAGGTTACAATAAGAACACCACACTGACACTGCAACGTCGCCGGATATCCGAGAAAACTCAGGAACCCATCAAGTCAGATTTAGATTGAGGCTTATAAATAACTGGTACAGAACACAAATGTATTTCCTTATTGACAGAGCATTCTGTCTTCCTGAAGAGCTAAAAATACTGCAGCATAATAACAGTTTATGAGTAGAAGAATGGAACAAACCACCTCTTTTTGAATATTTTTTTTTATTAATTACCTTTGCATTTTATTCATGCAAAACATGGCAATCCTTTGCATCTTAACTAAAAGTTCTCACTACTAAAGAGTTATTTTTTTCTTTGCTCTGCATGGAATGTATATAACAACACTGCAGTCTCCACCTGCGGAACAACCATACAAGGACAGCGGCGCTGAACTGAGAAACCCACACAAACTACCACTCTGAGATGCTATACAGCACATAATGATGGCATTCACATCAGTGGTTGAGGGGGAAAACTGCCTCCTGACCACTTCCAACTAACAAGCTCAAATTAAGACCACTGATGACCTCACGACTGCCAAATAGGCCAGCAAATCCAGCTGGATGTCCGATTCCAAAATAGTCTGGTAATACTGCCTGCTGGTGCCATGGATACAAATCACAGTTATGGGTTTGTTAAATATCTGGAAACACAACAGGTGCATATAATGTAATATTTTTATCTGACAATACAAATTAAATATGTGGCAGGCCAGTGAGTTATAAAAAGACTGGCTTGTATGACGTAATTTTTGTGTGCAAATATATATAATTGATGTACTGTATGACATAAACCAAATATGTATAAATCATATATGTACTGTAAATCACACCAATTGTCAACTCAACATTTGATTGTCTACTGGATATGTTGTGGGTTATTGTATTTATGATATATAATCTTTTCATTGCAGTTGATGTTGTACATGTCCCATACATTATAACACTAATAACCGTTGTTTAAAGCACACCTTTCAAAACCCAGTGATTACAAAGTTCTTCCCACAATACAGCCAATTAAACTAAGAAATCTAAAATCAACTGAGGTGGCAGAAAACATTAACTGAAGCATTTCACCACATGTGAGATCTCTTATGTGCAGAGTTATGTTCAGGTAAATCAACATTGGCTGTAGAAACAAGGTGAGGTTTAGGATGTGTGTGTTTTATTGCTCATTATATGATTATTTACAGGATACTCACTCTTGAAAAATGTCTTTTATTTCTTATTTGCAACCCAGATAAGAATACAATTGGTAAAACCAACTCCTGTAATATAATATAAAATAAATAAAGAGCTCATTCAATAAAAATGAAAAATAAAAAGTTTAAAAATCTCCCCAGTAAATGTTTAATAAGAAAATATTTAAAAGAGGATGTTGCAAAAATGTCAGTCGCAACAGAAATAAAAGTACCTCATTGTTTTCCTAATATGGTCATTTTAGGCATCCAAAGGGAATAATCTGTGCACCACTGAGTACAAATGTATAAGAACTAAATGTACAATACCCACTTCACTTATTTTGAACATTTAACATCACATACCTAAATATTTTGAACTCAGGACAATTTTCAGTACCTATCTTTTACCAGAGTCATAAACTAGGAGGGTGTTTCTACTTTTAGTTAACTGAAACATATATTGTTATACATTCTGTTCTCCATGTGCCTTTGTTTGGGAACCTATACTATAAGAGAGGAGGCGGTGCCATTTTAACTCCAGCAACATAAATCTAAATAATTTCCTGTACCAAGTTAAAAAGAGATGTATACACGGAGTAGTGCCAGATAAATGACATCTCGTGTGTACCGTTAGTTTATGATTGCTCAGGTGGTTACGACAGCAACAACTGGATCTGATATTTTGGTCATGGCTGTGGGCAGCGCTGGAGGAGTTTAGGAATGTGTGACCACAGGGCCCTTTGGCCCCACGGCTGCATGTCTTCCTCCCTTGACACGGACCATCACTGAACGTCTCAGTCCAGGTCCACTGCGTGACAAACCACAGCCGACAGCCACCCACTCTCAAACTGGAAAATGGCAACCCTTAGGGACGGCTGCTGCTCTCTTAGACGGGCAGTAAAAGCGGAGCGATTACTCTTTTCCTGCACTTCAGAGGGAGCCGGGATTGCTTCCGCCCTGAGAGTGGGCGGCTGGGTGGCTGTAGACATGTCATGTTCATGTCAATCAGCAGGTCAGAGTCTGTCCCTCTGTGATCTGAGACCCTGGAGCATCAGCCTCCTACTGCCATCTGCTGGATTGCTGGCTGAACTCACTCATGGGCGTAAATAACACAGCCATGGCCTGCAGATGGAGAGACAGACATGTCCTCTCAAAGTCAACACTTTCATTATTTTACAGGTTTGGTACATTTAAAATATGCATGATAAGATGATGGGTAAAATGTGACATGCAATCCAATGAACAAAGCTGGTTTAAAGCCGTTGTGTTTATATATTTAAATATATTTTAAATATTTGATAGACAGTATCTGCAAGTACATCCATAACATATAGTTTATACTGTAGTTTGAATAATAAATATGAGTTCTTTCCTTTTTTTTATTTTTCTATCTCCAAACATATTTTTAAGTAAGAGATGTTTGTTTTTTCAGTCTGTGCCCCCACACACCTACATGTTCACTCATGTGAACTTAGGTTTGGCAGCCTGGTACTGCGGGTGTGGGATGAGTTACTACTTTAGACTCCTTTTGGCATGCACTGTCTCAAAATGTCCCTTTTTTTACTGGTAAAAATAGTTACTCAGAAGAACCGGAAGCACAGAGACAGGTAGCATATGGCAGATACTGATATTTGATTAGGTTTAATAATGATAAGTCAGCTGATAGAAAATAAACTGTGCTCTCTGCTGGATAGACTGGGTAATGAAGACACTGCTAGTAAATTACCTCAAACATGCAGTATATCCGCCCTTTAATCACTGAAATGTATTGTTACTTATCAGCCAACATATATATACAATACAGATTGATCTTTGATAATCAAATAAAAGTCGGTTCCACTCAAATACAACAATATATGTATGATAGGCATTTTTCAATATTCTCATAATAGTATTTTGATGTTTTGAGAAGATAATAAAAGTTCCTCTATATTTTATATTTTATTTTAAGCTAGCGCTTTGCTGTTTACATATACCGAATGTTTACATATATTTATACTTCCTTGAAAACGTATCTAGTGGCCCAAAACACATATTACTGACCAGATAGAGCACAGCTCTTTAGGTTTAGTCCAGTCCATTCACCTAGCTAGCGAGAACTCCAAGGTATTTAACAGAAGCGGATTCGTCACAATTTATTTAGCAGAAAAATATAAAACAAGTGGCATTTAAGTTATTTTTATGGTGATTATATTTTTGTCAACAAAGACATCTACCAGTAACCATTTTATGCTTCAGTCTTATATTATTTTTGAAGAGCCATAAAGAGTTATTTGTTTGTTATTATTAAACGAATCTGCTGCCGGTGTACGCATAGGTTACACGTGAAACTCGTCCGCAAACGTCACTTCCGCTCGTTTCCGTTCGGTTCAGGCGGGCTGGTTGAACGCGTAGAAAAAGCGCTCCAGCTGACTGTTGCAAAAAACAATATAACGAAACTAACATTAATTAATATAGATATCACAGTTAAACATGTAGTAGGCACATCCCTCGGTGGCTGATCGGACGCAAGATAGCTTTTGAAACTATTACAGCTAGGCTAGCTTCTCCAGGTAACAAACATTAGCTTGTGATCTTTGTAGTGTTTAGCTTATTTACATAACAGCTAACCTGACGTTGCTGTGGTTAATGTTAGCTGATTAAAAGTTCTAGATCCTACAAGTAATGGACCGACCACCGAGGTTTGTAAACTACTTTTTAAACCTCTATTCGTGTTCTTTTTGCCTGATATTGTCAGTGTGGAATGCTAACACGTTGTTTATGTTGACACGCAGGAAGACTAAGGTCGTGAATTACTCTGAAGCAAAAGACTTTGACGATGGTGAGAAACTATTGCCTCTATCAATGTTACTTATACAGCAGTATTATATACATTATATATGTATTATCGGTGTGTAAATATTTATATATATATATATATATATATATATATATATATATATATATAAGCAGTGTGTAATGTGTGTGTGTGTGTGTATAGATATATATATCATGAAATAATATGAGACATTTTTTCCACATTTTTATGGCATCTCTCACTATGACTTTTTTTATGACAATATACTCTTTCATGTTGCCTACGCAAATACTTCATTGCTTACTTTATATCAAAGTATTATGCTGGCACCATTAGTTACAACACATTTGCACGATTCTTGAGATTTCCATGAGAGTGTACACAAACGGTATACACTGACATACACTAACAGACTCAGTCTTCTAACGGCACCAACATATCTCCATGTTCTGTCTTTATGTCGTGACAGATGACGATTTTGTCTGCGTGAAGGCTCCGCCCAGCAAAAGGGCCAGGGAAGATGTGAAACAGGAGCACAGTAAATCATCGAGCATGTCCTCCAATCAGGAGTCCAACTCACAATCCGCAACGAGCCAGAAGAGCAGGTACATCAGTAGACGAGATAATACAACATAGTATGGACCAAGTAAAAGTACAGAAAATAAGTAATCAGAGTTGGTTGATTGTCAGCCAGCTACAACACAATTAAGTTTCAATCAAGATTGGTCATGCAACAGAAAACTTTGTTGCCAATAAAGGACAAAATACACGATACGTAAATTATTTTATGTTCAACAAGGCAATAGGTCACTTGAATGGGTGTTTGTTTGGATTAAAGTCTCAGTTTGGCCTCTCATCTCTCTCTAGTAAATAGACAGTAGTGCTTAGTTATAAGATCTTATTTTATTTCCAGTTGTCAGTTGTTTTTTAAAGTATTTTAGGAGTAAAGTAACGTTTCTAAATCTTTAAATGGCCAGACATTAATCATGGCTTGAAACTTGTATTTCACAGAAGACCATTAGAAAGAGAACTAGAAGCAGCCATTACGCTATCCTTGCTCAATAATGGAGATGGGATAAAGGACCAGTCTTCAACCCGTAACGGTACGATATATCTTTGAAAATATCTTTTTTTTTTCTATTTTAAAGAGTTGTCAACTCAATGTGACATTTCTCTAGATGTCACGATTCAAGTTCCGGTAGATGAAAACACAGATCCAACTTCTGCGCACCTGTCCAACTGCAGTGTGGATTTGACAGTTTTGGGTAAATCCCTCTTATTTTTGCTCACTGTACATCTATTATTGCACATTTAATTTGTCTTCCATCTTGTTTGATAAGGATAGAAATGGTATCAACATTTTCTGCAGCTGTTAATTTCTTTGTTTTCATTAGGCCTGGATGAAATCACATCAGAAAAAGAGTCGCCTTCCCGTTCCAGACAAAGAAAAGCTGCCAGCAGAGCCGCTGAGGAGCAGAAGAACAAGCCTACGGATGAAGATGAAGACTATGAGCCCAAACTGACACCAGGTTGCCCATTCTGTCATCACTCCCTAAATATCTGCTTTCTGTTTAATTACCTATTTTCTGCATCAGTGAGATAACAATGACATCTTTCCAGATTCAGAAAGTGATGAAGATTTCAGTGAACCAGCCGAGAGTGAAGATGAGGAATTCACAGTGAAGAAAGTCGGCAAAACAAAAAAGAAGGAAAAAGTTACCAAGAACGAGAAGAACAAACCGCCTCCTTCCTCTAAAGAAAAGCAAGCATCAAAACCATCAAAGTCTAAATCACAGGCAGCAGGTAGCTTCTTCGAGTTCCTCAAAGAAGGTTTTTTGTTTTTTGGAGGCTGTGGCTCAGGAGTGTGAAATGTGTATTTGTGTATAAATAAATGTGACAATAGAAATCTATTTTAAGTTTTTGGCCTAACTGTAATTTAATTTCGTCATTTGTCTCACAGCAGCTTCCACACCGGTGAGAAGTCCTCCAGCGGCCAAACTTGCACCCAAAAAACCTGCTTCATCATCCACAGTTTCTTCGCAGACACCTGTATTACCCCTGAGCCCAGCAGGGGGCAGAATACCCAAGTGGAACCCACCAGGTTGAACAAGAGACGTTAACGGTATATTTCAGTAAGTTGAATGCTAAATTTACTCTTTTTTTTTTTTTTTTTTTCCTCCTCAGCTCAAGTTGGTAGGAGTCCCAGTTCATCCAGTCCAGCTGTGAAGTCTCCAGGTCAGGGTCTGCGCCTCGGGCTGTCCCGTCTCGTTCGAGTCAAACCTCTTCACCCCGGTGTTTCGAGTCACTGACCTGTCTGTTGATGCCCCTGCATGTGTCAGTTTGTGTTGTCCTTTTAGCTTTATTTAAGAAAAAATAAATAAAAAAGATATTTGTAAATATTCAATTCTGTTTTCACAGCTATACATATAAAGTGACTCCAAGGATGTATTTTTCCATGAGGCCACTTGCACCTCGCACCATACATTGTTAACAGGCCGAAGAGCTGGTGGCTATAATTACTTATTAATGTTAATTGTAATAACAGTACAGCAGTTGTGTCTGTAGATTTCTTTGATGATTCCAATGGGAGTTCATTAAACTGTTGTTGGTATTACTTGAATGTGGAAAAATCATCCCTTTTTTTTAAAGTCTCATAATCTCCCTTTTTCCTATTCTGTGCAAACACTGTATATTGTGTACACATATACATATATATATATATATATGAAATAAAATTTAAAACAAGTTTAATTTTGTATGCTGTGTCTCCATTACCATGATCTGCGGATCAGACAGTATTGTCAGCTATGCTGTATTTAATAAAGTGTTTGGCTTGCTTGACTTATTTGTCAGCTAAGATCTATTTCACACATTATTATTCATAGATGATTGATAGGTTCAGGAAAAGGCCATAATATAATGTAACAACATCTGCCTTTGTTTTTGTACGGACCAAACAAAAGAGATAAAGTTGTTTAGAGTAGCTGGTATGCAGATTTTATTTAGTTTAAGAGCAGCAGAAGTACATTTAAAGGACTTTAAGGTCTACTTCAATCTACTCTAACTATTTTGATAAATATAAGAAAAGATTATGTTCTTAAATTACAAAAATTCAGCCAAGATCCTCTATTGTTGGCGTTTGATGGGGTCATTTCAGTGCTGAGCCCAAGATCAAAGTTTGATTGATATTCTGGACACTGAAGTGCTTCCTGTAAGCAAATGAAGAGGTCGGAACCTTTTAATCTTACATCATCAATCTGCAGATGAAATAAGAATGTCAAAGTAAGAATAAAGAGATATGGCGTACATGTTTCTCAACAGTGGGACAAACTCAACCACCTAATGCAAACACTCGTCTCCCCTGAAATAGGCAGACAGATGGTTGGTGGTGTGTCAGTAGAGGATGCATTGTCCTGTTTGTGGTACAACAGCTGGTAAATGGACGACATTAATATGGGTGGGAGTTAATAAGAGGAACAACCCAACATGACGAAATAAGACAACGACACGCTTTAATGAATAGCTTTAATGCTTGTGATTTTATTCTGTTACAGACAACACAAAAAAAACAAAATACTTATTATGAAAGTAATTTTAAATTATAACACCGAAGAAATAGGAAACATAAACAAAAACTGATTCAATCCAACATGGAATCTGGACATGCAAAGACTATACATATGAAATGAAATTCATGTCATGTCCTTTTATGAGAAATGAAAAAGATGTAAATTCCACAAGTAATGAACACAATATTACGTGTGACTGAGTGTAAAATAGAGTTATGTAATGACATACTATACAATTAACTTTTTGCATGACATACTTTAGTGAATTTTTACATTACATTTTATATGACATGCTATACTATGAAGTTCTTCATAAAAACATCTGTATAACTTTATTCATCCACTTTTTTGACATACTATACTATTTATATTTACAGTACATTCAATTTTCTATGGCATACCACACAATGTTTTTTTATGACCTTTTTTATGACATCCTATACTATGACTTCTTATATGACACCATCAAAACATAAATTGTTTTTTTGATTATGATGGCTGAGTTTAATTATATGTGTGAATGACTACAAAACAGAGCTATTACATTTCTTTAGGTGCACCAAGGTTGAGTAGGTCAAGGTTCAGTAGGAGAAAGCAGGCTGACAAGAAAGATAATAACATATATTATCTATAGATTATAATAATATAGACCTTGGTCGAGGGCGGGTGCATTTTGTTTTTCAGTCTTGTGTTTCGTGAGTAACTTTGTCAAAATGAAAGATTGACATTCGGCTGTTTGTTGACTGTGATTGCTGAGTGGTGATATGAAAATAAGACCATACCACACCTGCGTTCATTTAGGATGGTAAAAACAGACAATTATGCTGTATATGATTTATACGAATATTATATGTAATATTTTTAATATAATATAACCTTTTAAAAGAGAGTGGACGCTACCAACCAACAAGCCGGGAGATAAAACAGAAATAAAATTAATTAACTTACTTACTAAATATTCAGCTTTTTCTCAATTTGTTGTGTTGTGTTGATGTGTTCCCCACACCTTTTTTTTCTAGATGGGAGCATCATAGGATACAAGGGAAACATGATATGGATTGTATTTTTAATACAAAAAAAACCTGGTTCTTAGCATTATCAAACCTAAAAAACAGTCAGCTTGTCAGCTTGATTATCTGCTGTTAGCAGAGTGGATGAACAAGGTTGTTGTTAGAGCAAAAGTAATGTTGTACTCGATTTGTCTGTCGGTCCTGTTCCTGTTACCTGCAGAGTACTGCTGGTTTTCTCTCCTTCCCAGTTAACAGCTGATTATATACACCTGGTGTAATGCAAGGAAGAGGCAGCAGAGTGAAAACCGGACTGAAAACGACACTTTCAACAAATCTTATGTGAACCTCAGGATATCAGATAACACAGCTATGGTGGTTCAATGTGCGTGACCTAATGTGTGTAAGAGTCTGTGTATAAAGGGTGGGGAGAAAGAGAGCACCTGAGATTAAAGGCAGGGAAGAACTCTCTCCTCCTTTTTCTTTTAATGCAAGAAGAAACAAAACGCATAACATGCAAAGAAGCACCAGGATGAGGTCTGGCTGGATGAAAGGATCACTCCTTGCCTTTACCGTGGCTGCTGCTCTGTTATACCTCGGCTCCATTAAGCGGGAGGTTCATACCCATTCGGAGAGACTCCAGAAGGCTCACCACAATGACTCCATCAGGGGTAAGGGAATGCTCAAAAGGATAGTCAAGATGGAAACCAACATCAACAAGCTGTGTGAGTCTCAGGACAACAGCTGGTTCTGTCCTGCTTCTTTTTTTCAGTACAAAACTTGATTTCAACTAAATAAACTTGTTGTTGTTGTTGTGTTTCAAATACTTAGGCATTGATGTGGTGATTTGCAAGTCTATAGATGTTGATGTCGAGATTAAATCAGTATTAAATTATTTTTTTTGAAAGTTAAGATTATCAAATCGTATTGTTTTTGAGAAAATATGAAGGACTTTCAGTGACATCATTGCACGGAAAATCTCCCTTCCACTCTCTGCATGCCAAAGACTAGATGCAGCCTCGCCTCGGGACCTATACACACCTGCTAAGATTAGCAGCCCAATGTAGGCACGCAGGTCAATCTCATCCATCCATTTCCAGTTGTCTGGGGGTACTGTCATCTGCAGCACCTCTATAGCCTCTGACTGCATTCCCCAAACAATGCTTTCAGGAAATGTTTATTCTCTCTGATCTTGTTTGTATTTTGTCTGTGAACTTCAGCCAGGTGAGGGGTCGTGGAGGGGAGATGCTGCATATTTGCGAGAAAGTTTAGGAGTTCAATCAGTAGCACACGTAATCTCAATTTCTTGTGTGTGTGTGTGTGTGTGTGTGTGTGTGTGTGTGTGTGTGTGTGTGTGTGTGTGTGTGTGTGTGTGTGTGTGTTGTTGTGGTGTGTTTTTTATGGTTTCTGGAGTATGAAAATGATTTTATAACTGCTGGGTCAAAAATGACCCCGAAGACAATATGGGTACCCTGTTGGTGTACAGCTTTTATGAAAATATGAACAAAGGCAATTTTTTAACTTTTTTTCATGTCATTCTAGGAAAAGTCATTGAATTTCAAGTTGGAAAAAGACCATTACGGGTGTTTCCTATGCTGTTAAACATAGTGGTGGGTCATTTTTGACCCCTAAGATGACACAAGGGTAAACATGTAATTGGACTGCACATATTACCACACCAGTGCAAAGATGATTTTTGTTAATGACAGAAGGCTCATCCACTATTTACGTATGTTTCAGGGAGGGACACCTGTTAAACACTTGGCAAACAAAGCAGAATAATGGTCAAACAAATACTCGGATGTTCCGTTTTGTCAACAGTCGATCTGATGAATAAACTTGAAAAGAAGGAACCGGTAAAACGGAACAACGCAGAGGTGAAGAAGGAGAAGAAAGTGGTGAGGAAGTTGTACCCAAACTCGTATCTGTTCAGCAAGTGGGGCGATGAGCTGTCGGAGGAGGAGCAGAAGGAAGCCGAGACGTTGTTTCAGAGTTACGGCTACAACGCCTTCCTCAGTGACAGGCTGCCCCTCAACAGAGAGATCCCTGACACCAGGCCGCGCAGGTGAATGTAACTTCCTGTAATAAACTACTGATAAAACACACACACAGTGGGCTGCTTTATGATGCCTCATTATATGAGACACAAATTACATTACTTTCTCAATTGCCCAAATTAATTTGCTCTAAAAAAAATGTTTTCTGATCAATATTAATTTTGTTTTACTATTAAAAAAAAGAAATTATTGTCATAAAAACATCTGACAGAAACTTTTAATGCAATTAGGTACAACATGTTTAGGCTGAATGAATGTGAGGTTAGCGGACACTCTTTTTCAGTATGTATGTCTTGATCGATCAGTGGTTGGTTAAATGATCAAAAAATGAATTGGCAACAATTTGATTATTATTTAATTGGTTTATACGAACACAAAAACTACCACCGTTTCTCCTCTCACAGGTGTGCTGAGAAAAAGTACCCCGAGGATCTGCCTTCCATGAGCATCGTGTTAATTTACCTGGATGAAGCTCTTTCTATCATCAAAAGGGCCATCCGCAGCCTCATAGACAAAACACCAGCTCGGCTGCTGAAAGAAATCATACTGGTGGACGACCACAGCAGCAATGGTACGTCGACCTGCTACATCGTGTCTCTGGCTCTGTTTTCCATCCTACACTAGATTACTCAATGGGGTATTTGGGCTTTTAAAGGTTCAGTTCACTGAAATTACACAAGATATTTAGCATGGGCATTTAGACTGAATCTATAGCTTAGACTAATGTTAGATTACTCTTTACTTTTACTTTCTGCAGAGGATTTAAAGGAGAAACTGGATGATTACATTTCCTCTATCCACGAGGAGCGTCCAGGCCTGGTGAAGACAGTCAGGCACTCGGAGCAGCTCGGCCTCACCCAGGCCAGACTGTCGGGATGGCGGGTTGCTAGGGGGGACGTCGTGGCCATCTTGGATGCTCACATAGAAGTCCATGTACAATGGTTGGTTTAAGGGATCCGAGTTTTCACACCTCAGTTTCATTTGCTGTGCTTTTTTCAGTATGAAGCTTAAGTCAAACTGTCATTGTCTATCCAGGGCAGAGCCGCTGTTGGCTCGGATTAAAGAGGACCGCACCGTGATATTGACACCAGTGTTCGACAAAGTCAATTTTGATGACTTGACACTGATTCCCTACATACCTGCAGCAGACGCCTTCGACTGGGCTCTGTGGTGCATGTACGAGTCCTTCAGACCCGAGTGGTACGCTTTAAAGGACAATTCCCTCCCTGGAAAGTAAGTTTAAGAATTCATTCTCCCAAATCACACACAAAAAGACTTTCTCACTTAAAGGGATAGTTCGGCGTTTTGGGAAATGTGATTCTCTGAGAGTTGGATCACTACCACTCACATCTGTTCATTTAATGGAAACCCAGTCGCCAAAAAAAACATCTTGGCATTTTACATTCCTGCAAACCACGGGATTATTTAAATGTTGACATTTCTGAACCAAACATGTTTAAATACATTTCATATTAGCCTTGTTTCACACTTGAAGGAACACAGAGCGGTTGAGCAGACTTTCTCATGTAATGTAATAACCATAAAGTCTGTTTACTTTGGGTTCAGCACTGGAGACAAACAGCAGACCTGAGTATACACCACACCTTCTATTCCTAGGAAACGACACCCAGTGAGCATTTTTCCGTTGAAGACGTTCAGTATTTGTTCAAAAGTGAAGGTTTTTTAGCCGACTATTTGTAGACGTTGATTAAACGTTCATGCTTGGACCAGATTTCAACGTGATTTGCAATACTATAATTTTCCGTCCTCTACATTGTGCTAATAATAATATATCATCATTTTAGAGGCTTACTAAGAAACCACATCCACATTTATCAGTTGAAAGCCAGTATTAGAAATCACGTTGAAATCTGGTCTAAACGTTGAATCAACGTCTTCAAATAGTCGGCTAAAAAACTCACTTTTCAACGTGTTTTCAACGTCACCGTGTTTTCAATGTGGAAATGCTCTCATATCAATATGTAGCAACTAAATACTTAATGTTAGTAACACATCCAACAGTTTTTGTGACACGTTGATATTGTAACCGTAATTTAGCCGGTTGAAAAGACGGTGAAAATACATCTAATGGTGTGTTCACACCAAACGCGTCGCAAATTATTCGCGTGAGTAGATTACATACAAAGTCTATGCACAGATGCAATGAGACTGGCGCAGCGCGAATTTGCGGCGCGATTGGCGCGAATTCACGTCAAGCGCCAAATCACCGAGTTGAGATTTTTCAACGTTTTTCAACATCAGCGACGTCCTGCCGTTGTTGAATCAGGAAATAAATACTGTAGCCGTCTGTGTTCACCCAGAGCTCTACGATACCTCATATCAATAGAGACCGGACCAAACTATGTGTATAAATGTGTGTCTGTAAACCATATGGTACAAACAACGAATTCGCGACGCGTTTGGTGTGAACGCACGACATTCAGACCCCATTTCAACGCCTTTTTAACCAGAAATCAACGTTGAAATCCGGGTTAGTGCTCACTGGGCACTAATTACTCTCATATTTAAAATGCATTGACAATGCATGAAGTACGGTTGCTGTTTTCAACTCGGGCTCTTTCTGTGTATACTTCTGTTCTCAGAAGCCCCTCCATCATGGGGATTCTTGTAGCTGATCGGAAGTTTTTTGGAGAGATCGGAAGCCTTGATGGTGGAATGAAAATATACGGTGGCGAGAATGTGGAGCTCGGCATCCGGGTGAGATTTACAGGGTGTTTCCAAAGTGACTTAAAACGCTATAATTAGAGTCTGAAAAACGCACTTCATCTTCCATCAAGCTTGCTGTAGAGGTGCAATGGTTGTTCAGAGGGTACCTGATTATATTAAATATTTATGGTCTCCAGATGATGTCTCTTTATACATCCATGCTCTAAATGACTTTGGTGATCTTCTGACTTTCCATTTAGCACCATCATTAGGTCAAAACATTAATTTGTCCAATACTTTGCTTTCTGATCAAATCCCTGCAAAACTAACGCCGTTCCCCTCAGCCTCAGGTGTGCTTTGTCTTAAGTGCTGACAGGTGAACAAAACCTGCTTTACATAATTATGTTAGCATTGCCCTTGGGCCATTGAGGTCATCTCTGTGTAGCGGTTTGTTCTCTTGGTGTTTGCATGGATTTATTTCAACAATTCATATCATACATGGTAGTTGGAGGGTCTATGATGGACCTTTTTTTTAGTTATTTACCTTTGTCTAATGTATGCTGGAATAGGTTCAAATCAAATTGGCATAAAAGTATATTTGAGCATTAGAGCGTGGCATTTAGCTGTGAACTCTGTACAGTATGTTTACTTGTTCAGAAAATAGAAATAAGATAATCGCATACAGTATAATGCATAGTGTGTTGAATGCCCTGAAAAATCTTCATTTTAAATATTTGAGCTTTTCTTTTTTGGCAGGTGTGGCTGTGTGGAGGAAGCATAGAGGTTATACCTTGCTCTAAAATTGCCCACATTGAGCGGGCCAAAAAGCCTTACCTCCTAGACTTCAGTAAAATGGTGAAGCGTAATGCACTGAGGGTGGCGGAGGTCTGGATGGATGAATATAAATACAATGTCAACATTGCTTGGAACCTTCCCCTAGAGGTGAGGCATGACACAGACTTGATCACATAAATTCTGACTAATTAGATGACTTTGGCTTCATAAAATAATGCTGTGGAGGATGCGACTCATTGTAAAAACATTGCCGTTTCTCTTACTTATCAAAATGTGTTTTTGTGGATCTTTCTTTTGTCCTGTTTTTAATTCTTTCCCCCACAGAACCATGGCATAGACATTGGGGATGTGTCCGAGAGGAAAAAGCTGAGAGAGAGGCTGAATTGCAAGCCCTTTAAGTGGTATCTGGATAATATTTACCCCCAGCTGGACCCTCTGCATGACCTGCTAGGTTATGGAACGGTGAGTAGAAACGATAGACGTTACTGCATTTGAAGTCTGAATCTGCAGGTGTCGGTCATCCTCCGTAGGCTTTGTTTAGGTTTACTTGGAACACATTTGAGATATTTTCCACTACGGATTCTTGTTGAAGACTCAATTTTCCAAGACATTAGGATATTTAAAGCAAGTCAAATGTATTCGGCTTAGGATCGTCATATATGCTTCCAATTTATGGTTCCCACATCGGGATACATTTTGCTTTAAAGTGTTACTTTCTTTTCTATCTGCTTCTGTTGGCAGCTGATCAATAATCTGAAGCCAGATATCTGCATTGACCAAGGCCCAATGCCTGGGAACACACCCATTATATATGGCTGCCACTCCTACTCCCCTCAGGTATGTTCAGAGAGTCACTGCATGCACACAGACTGTTGTTTATGTCTGTTTGCGGATAATCATTGTTCTTTGGTGTAGCACTGTTATTATCGCACCAATGGACAACTATACATTGGTGGAATCAAATCTCACAAGTACAACAGCAACCGCTGTCTGGTGGACCCCGGCACTGGAGTCTACCCGGGACTCTACGAGTGCAAAACAGCCAAGCAGAAGAAATTCCACATGTTGTGGGATTTTAAACAGGTTAATATTGCAGTTTTAAATATAAATCTACACCAAAGGGGTCGGTCTGTTTGCAGAAAAATAAATGTTTTATTGTTGTTATTCCCAGGATGGACCTATCCAGAACAGAAAAACAAAGAGATGCCTGGAACTTGCGATTGCTGATCACAGCTATTACACACTTGTTGTTCAGCAGTGCACTGGTCAGAGCTGGAAGATACAACATGTCATCAAAGACCAAAGCATGCTGGCCAGGGCAGAGACGGCAAGATAACAAACGTGCCATTGTGGCACAAAACGGCATCTCAGAGAAGGATCTGGGATGAGTTTACATTTTGCATGAGTTAATATTTTCATTTAATTCTTGTCTTTGCCTAAAATATGAGCTGCAATTGCGTGGCAAGTTCCCTTTTCTTGGTTTTGAATAAAAAATGTCAACATTTGCTATGACGGATTGTGTGGGGAAAAAAGATTGCATGTGGACAGCTTTGAACGACGCAGAGCAGGACTGAATGTATGTGGATCGCATTTCTTACCAGCAAGCTACTTTAGCGTTACGTTTCTTTGTAGCGGTTTCAAGACAAGAAAAACAGTTCAGAAACTTCTATGAGAGTTTTATCAATTACAAAGATACAGTAGTTCCAATGAAGCCTATAGATGTTTTAGTTTAGCGTTATTATAATCATCATTCAAGTGGGAGAAGAATTCGGGTTGGTTGTCATGAATGATTAAAGATGAAGGCGTCCCATTTTTTCTGCCACATGACAAGACCTTTGTCCTTCAGAGGAGCTGGCAAGGAGCTGTACCTGCAGGCAGAAGACACCATCATTGAACTATGATATGACATCATTTGTTAATTGTTGGATAAAAATAAGGATTTCCACCACACACACTAGAAATCACATCCTTTAATGCTATTAAAGTATACTGAAAGTTTTCTAACTTCCTACAGCCCTTGATTACCATTCATTTATGATGTGAAAATCAATTTGCTGAGATTTAAAATGTGCTTAAGGGAGGCATGAGAGGGATCAAATCAACTGATTGTCACCTGATGGAGTTAAGAGCCAGCTCTTTCAGAGTGCCCAGGTTTGCTTTTAATCCTCCGATGCCAACAAAGACCTGATAGAAGTCGTAGGAGAGGCCCGTGGTGCCGAACAGAGACGGGTCATCGGAGCTGATCACCATCGGGTGACCCTCAGACATCAGCACAGCTGCAGGGTGGTTCCGAAGGTCCGATACCAGCCTCAGCACCTGGAGGTCAGAGGACAAACACATTCAGGTACTTTATATATATATATGAAGACAGGCACGCCGGTGCTGAATCCAAAGGTCCAGACTTCATCGCACTTGCAGACTTAATGGGTTCCCAAATGGGTCTGTCCAAATCCACACAAGGGGCGTAAAGCAAACTCTTCGTGGACTTCCCCACACTTAACATGACCAAATACAACAGACAGAATATGCATAGGCTGAAAAAATGTTGTTCGAAATAAGTTAGTTTCAGGAATTTTAATTCACCTCAATGGAAACACTTTTGGTCTCAGTCCCGTCTCATAGCACATTTCACCCCCCCCCCCCCATGGTGTAGCACCCTCGCCCACACCAGATTTTGTTTCTAATAGGTTGTCTCACCTGGTTTGAGATGGGGCACAGCTCCACAGCCACGTTTCTTTTCCTAGAAAGCTCTTTGGCAAGCGGATGATGTGCCAAAGCGTAGCCGTGCCCGATGCGCGTGGTGTTGAACAGAAGGGCGTCAAGAATGTTTTGGTCCACGTCAGTGCCTTCATCATCTACAAGCGAGCATACAAAGTGGAATCAAAGTATATTTCAAAAGATGTATTAAACTTTTAAGAAGTGCTCCGTTTTGTTTTTGTAACAATGATGTATGCTGTGCTTTTGGTCCAACCACCTGTTTCCCCTGCGTGAAAGAAATATGGCAGCGTGACACCCAGTTCAGCTGGCAGAGAAAGTGCCTCCCTGAAATACCAAAGAGTCCTCCCGCTGTCCTCCCTGCCAACCTGCAAAACTGCAATGTTAGCTCGCATACAAGCTATATCCCAGCAAATATTGTTTTAGTCCAATAAGTGATTGAACAAGACAGATTACTTCTTACCATGTCAAATCCTGCTACAACATCTGGGAAGTCCTTTTGCAGCTGAATGGCCTCTTTCACAGCTGCTTTGACCTCAGATACACTCAGAGCCCTGAAGAAAGCAGCAACAATTACAGACACAGAAATCAGCACCCTACATGACTCACAAACCAAAAAAAACATGTGTAATTTCACATTAACATTATGAGATGCCCATCTTCTTTTTTGTATTTCTAGCTACTTGTGCCTCGCTCAAAAGTAGATTGACAAAATAATACCGGCTGGCGAAAAACCCCTTACCAACATCGACAAAAAGACATTTAATGGGAGACGTTATACAACTGTTCTCAGATGTTGAGTGGTACTAAACTAGTGGAGAGGCCTGGTGGTAATTCCAGAGCTCTGTTTCCAGAAAACAGGAAATGGAAGTCATTAAGAGATGATATAATTTATTATAGTTACAGAAATGTTTTTGTCCCTACGGGGACGTAGTCAGAGCATTCAAATTATGGCACATGGTCCCTACTTTGTCAATTCATTAAGAAACCCACTTATTCTGTGACTGAATGTGAAAATCTGTGACATTACATCAACAATCATGCGAGTCACAGGGGGCATTCTTCTTCATAATGAGTACTTTTAATACTTTAGATACATTCAGCTGACAACACTGGTAATGAAAGAGGCTCAGAGTACTTCTTCCATTGTTGATGCCTACTGAATTGGAAATGCAATTCAACTAGAATGTTTTAGAAATATTAAATCATGACTAAAAGTAAACCTAAACTACTCAAAACATGAGTAATTAAGTACTACGTATTAAGAGATATGTCTTGTTGAAACCTCATCAGTACCTGTGCACAGAAACGATGACACGAGCCCCAAGAAAGTCCGGATGATCCGCTACAAATTTCCTTGTAACTTCTTGAAACGTTTTTAGAGTCCAGACCTTATCGTGAATGGATCCATCAAGCTCATACGTCTGAAACACACAAAGGAAAAGCAGAAATGTCAGATCGACCACTGCTGCCGAGAGGAGCTGGAGCTGGGGATCAGGTGTGAAGAAACAAAACAATCACAAACCTTTGAGAGACCGCTCCTAAGTTCCAGATACATGATGTTGTCATGGAGGAGCTCTTCTAGGCCCTGGTAGAAGTAGTCCCTCAGCCCGGGTGCATAGGTGATCAGCCCAGCAGCTGCGATGAAGGCTTTCTCAAACTTCTCCCACACAACCTCTTGGCTCGGGTACTCACCATCTGGATCCTCAGTGAACAGTGTGAGGTGCTGCATTAAACTGAAAAATAATATTAATATTAATATATATATATATACTGGGTAAAGTTCTCCCACTTTCTCTTGACTTAAAAATGTGTAAGGGAAGCCGATATCTTACTCAACCTGTTATCAAAGCCTGTAGGGTCTCCTATTCTGGCTCTCAAGGTCTCAAGCAGCTGCCAGTAGAAGCAGTCCCATCGAGGGAATGGTTGGCGGTCGGAGAAGAAGAAGCGGACCGAGTTGTCCCAGGTGAAGCAGATGTAGCAGTGAGGCCGGTAGGTGATGTTTTTCACCAGCCATTCGACACTGACCAGAGAGGAGGTGTGGATGTGTAGGGCTGCACCTGTGGTCAAAGCAAACTGATGCGCTGAGCTTAGACAGTCACATCACATGAAGATCTTGGTTATTTTTGGGTGCTGCGAACGCGGACGGATAATGACACAAAGGCCTCATCAGTTCTTGTCATTTTGTGTGTATTTGTGTCTGTTTTTGTGGACAATTTGAGTCTTTAAAGTCATTTTACATTGCTTTTGTAGTCTTTTTTCTTTATTTGTAGTCCTTTAATTAATCACTTTGTATCCTTCGTAGTAGTTTCGCGGAACTTAAAAAAACAAAAATTGTGTCTCTTTGTAGCCATTTTGTGTAACATTGTAGTTGTTTTGCATATCTTTGTATTTGTAGTGTGTAGCTTTATAGTTATTGTCCTTTTCTAGTCATTTGTGTCTTTGAGTAATTGTTCACCCCTTTGTAGTTGTTTTGTGTCGTTCTCAACAAAACACTTTGCATCTTTGTGTTCATGTGTGACTCTCTGAAGTAGTTTTCTGTCATTTTTCATCATCTCTTTAAGTGCCATTTTACAAGTGAACCAGATCTCGCAGATGCTCATGTGATATTAGTAGTTTTACACATTATTAAATCATGCTGGAGATGAAGAGAGGCCGTTTGAATCGTATCCAAAGCTTCCAACCACAACATGTATTATACAAAATGCTACATCAAATCATCACAGAAAGCCCGAGTTTGTAGGTTTTTTTTGTAAACCAAGTGTTTTTGTTGTAAAACTGATAAAAAATACAGTCTATGTTTACAAATGTTTCTTTCTCTTAATAAAATGTCACCGTGGCCAAACTGCAGCTAAATGAAGGAAAACCATAAAGAGAACAAATGTTCATCCACACTTGTGAGTTATAAAATCACCTTTAGGCATCTTCTGTAGCAGTTTGAAGATTGGACTCTTCTGGATGAGGGGCTTTGCTTTAAAGAAGTGGATAGCAGGAGGGAACTGTGCAGCAGACATCTCTCGCTCCTTTAAACGATGGAGGTAAACGTCCAGCTTCTGCTCGGCCGTCGTCAGTACCACCCGGCCTCCCGTCTGTCTGGACGTCTCCTGCCGCATCAGCAGGTCCCTCTGAGCAGGGTCTGGCATCCCATCAGCCCCTCTTACAAACCACAGGAGGGTCACATAAGTGAGCAGAGCCTGGCAGATTTGGATCACCATGTCCTCAGGAGGATGCTAGAACATGATCACACTACCGCCACAAGAGCAGGTTTGCTGTATTTGAAGCTGTAAAGAAAGAAATACTACGTGAGACATGCACTAATGACATTTAAGTCCTTTTACCTCGGACGAGAGGTCGTGGAGTGCTTTCCGAGAAGTGAGTCAATAAATTTGACTTGTTTTAGGGTCAACATGATAACATGCTACTTGCATTATAGTGCTGACAAGAGCCTATTCAGTACTGCTTTGCTTTCAGATTAAAAGACATTGAACCGAAAGAAGTGAACAAAAGTGACAACCAACCTTCAGTTCATTAATATAAACTAAATAAAAAACATTTTGAAGGCAACTCCAGCTACTTTAAAACATAAAATACTTACAAGTAAGAGGGAGCTTCTGGTGTCCTGTGTCTCTACTCGGCAGAGACTCCGCTATCAGTCGAGGACGTCAGCGAAATACTCAGAGCGACTGGACAATCGGGGCATTTCTGTCTAACAAATACCATGTGATAAACTAATGAATGAAGCATGATTGGGACATTGTTTGAGCCAAAACAGAGCAGAGAAGTGAAAGCAATGATTTATATTTTATTATGTTTTACATTTCCACAATATCACATCTCACCAGTTTGAGACACAAACGAGAAAAGAAAAAGTAAAGAACAAAGAACAAAAAACAAAACACACATATATACGTATAATTTAATCTGGAAACCTCATATACATACAGTCCACCCTCTGGAATGATATCACCCACTCGTTTAATTCATGACAGAATAACGCACATCAATAAATTAACTCTGTAAGGTCATGTACGGTCTTGAGTTCGGTTTCAAGGATACCATTTATTTTCTCTGTAATTGGTTGGAGCAGACATCCATT